CGACGGAATCTGGGTTAATCGACACCCAAACATACAAAATATAAACAAGGATGTTAACCTAAAGATGAATGTATAATTTTTAAATGAAAGAATTTTATATATCGGAAACATAATTTTTAAAGGAACAATATAAAATTTAGAAAATGAAAATAATATAAAATAAAAAATTAAATTAATATTGTGGCCGTCTCCATGGTCCGCTGTCCGAGAATTAACACTTTCAACAAATAAAGAAACTATTGCTGATTTCGTATTTTTTTCTAAAAAAAAAGTTTCAGATGAGATGAATGCGGGATTAGGATCACATTAGAATGTAACTTTGAAATCATATCCATACGAATGCTTTTTTTTTCTCAACAAACACTAAAATAAAGGAAAATTAAGAGAATTATATGAAAATATAATTCAGAGTTTTAGAAATATGAAAGATCAGACAGTAAAGGCAAAAGGTTATAGTAATATTGCAACCAACATAAATAATATAAAAGGTAGCATTACAAGTAAACAAATAAAAAAATAATATTTTATTATAACAGATACCTACTAACGGTATAAAACAATGTAATAATAGAAAAGTTTTACCATTTTAATTGTATTTTCAATGTTCATGTTGGGATTAATTTTTAAACAAACTTTCATTATGAAAGGAAAATTTTAAAGCGAAGATGTTTTGTTCTAAAAATAGGTAAAAAGAAATACCCTTCCTAGAGAGAACGCAAGGACTTTTAGAATAGGAAGGAATAGGTTTCTAGAGCTCGTAACTCATTTGTCATGCACCTGAATGGAGCCGTTAAAAAATATTTAGTAGTCGGAAATTGAAACCTCGTAGCCGTAGCGAATGGAACCGAGAAATCTCTGGATAAGGGTATTCATAATTGAAGAAATCTTCGACCTTGTTCTACTCACCGAAATCGACCGTATAAATAACTCATGCGATAACTTGCTTTGCGAGGAAAGTATAAAAGAAATGAAGAAACAAAGACAAAGGGAATCTTTATATTACAACTATACCTCAACCTTTTTATTAAAATAAAATTTCAGTATTGCATTCTATGATTTCCTACAATTATGAAAAGTTTTACAATAATAAAATAAAACTTAATTTTTTGTTCAATTCATCCTAATCACAATTTTTAGTATAAGATGATCATAATTGCTGTCGACAATATATACAACGCAATTTTTCGCGACTAGAAACGACCATTACTTGAATAGAAGAGGTACATCTCCAAATTCAAGAGATTACACATGGAATTTTGATAACATGATAAAAAATATTCCATGATGAATCGACGATGAAACTGCAAGTAGTGAAAATCAATCTTAATTCATCTTAATTCGTAAAAATTATTTTCTATTGCACGAAAATTTCTTTTTTAGAACTGGCACGGTATTTTTATCTCTGATGCTTATTCATTCTCTACAGTGTGTGTTTTTAATAAAATTGAACTGCTTATAAATTTTAAAAAGAACTTGATGTTATCTTTTTCTTAAGAATAATTAAAAAATCACTTACAAAATATCATATGAAATTTTCTCTTTATAAAAAGTATCACAAAAATATATTGTTCTGTGTTTGAAAATAATTTATAATTCAGTAAGAGAAAAAATTTCCATCATTTTTATACAAATTTCACAACTGTATCGCATTAAGAATATTGATAATAATCCAAATTAGATTATGATGCAACTAATAATATCTTCTTATTGTATCAATCACAGTTTTTCTTATTACCACGTGTATGAATAAACTTTAATTCTAAACAAACAAACAAATCGGAAATCTTAATTGTACGCATCACTCCAATCCAATATTTACGAATAGCCTCTATCAATTGATAACATTTACTAGTACGATACAAGACTATCACCGTCGTAATGTACTCCACTTAATGGTAGATTAAATCTTACGCGCGTAATAAATAGTGAATTTATTTCTGTTAATCGTCCAATTAAATAGATCAATAGTAAATTATGAATTGATTCTTAGTTTGACTTAATCTTATGTTGGTAATGATAATATAACATATCACTGATAACGCTGGAACATTATAATATGTATGACTTTTGAACCGCGTGAAAGTACCTATACTTTAACTTTTCTGGATTTATTAATCGTACTATGCGATTCAAGTGACAAAATCAGTACTTTAGAATGCGTATCGACGAATATCGATCAGGTGTGTTCGAAAGGTTGTGAATCGTGACTTCTATCGATGAACAAGAAACCGGATATTTCAAAATTGATACGAATCGGTGTAGATAGCCGAAATGTGACAAAATCGTGCGTTCTCGATGTGAACAGTTAATCTTATCAATCATTCGGATCGACATCCTCTTATCGAAAAGTCCCCACTGTTCGCGTACTGTGGCACAAAAATGTTAACCTGACCCGATATTAGAAGAACTCGTGACAGCGACTTCATTATTTAGGCTAAAGTTGCTCATTTCTTATCTGAAGATGATCTTATAGAAATTTATAAAGGTAATTTTCGAAAAATAAACGGTCTGATTTTCCCTTTCAGAATTATTAATTGTTTTATTAATTACTCAGTAATTTCAACAGATTAATATATTAAAAATTTAATTATATAAGGTATGAATAATTACATTTTAAATTAAAGCTTTGAGTTTCTTATTTAATTATTATTAGTATAATCCTGCATTATATCCCTAGGTTTTGCAGGTACCTGAAAATTCGGGTCGGGAATTTTCTTTAGTACATAAAGTTTGAGTACACCTCATTTGAAAACGCGAATATCAATTTGGAACCCGGAACTCAATTACATTCGATTATACACGATAACGTATGAAAATGCTTTCAAAATTAAAAATTTAGAGTAAGTATGAAAAATGATGCCCCGAATGCAGCGTTGACTCCCGATTTGAGTTTCCAGTCTCGAATTGAGTTTAGGTCTGGAGTCGGTAGGTATTGAGGTGCCAAAATTGCGGGTATCCGAAAATTTTTATTCCCTACTGTTTTATTAATTTTATTATTTGATTACATTAAATTTGAAACACTACTCACGTCAGCCAACGTGTGAAAAAAATATGATTAATTTTAACCCTTTAAGGATCAATGCTGATGGGTGAAATTTCACTCCACGCAATTTTTGCAATAACCATCGTAATGTTATTTGCAACTACTGGAAACGATAATTTCTATATTTTTCATCTAATAGTAAATAGTGATACTATTTTTAATTGCCTTTTATTACCTTCATTAATTTTCAAAATAAGAAAAAAAATTATTGCGGTAAAGTATTATCCATGGTCCATTAAAAACCAACCAATGAAATAATGAAATTTGTAACCAGTTTCAAATCATCAATCCTCAGCTTTTCTGCGCAATTGCATTTTATCATTCGTATATAAAACACATAAATAAATGATTCCAGTATATGTCTCTCGATGACCGTCTCATTTTATGTAAAATCGATTATTCGCAGCTAAATTTGATCGCCGATTGAATAATTAATTCTATGATTTTAATGATCGATTGTAATTAATTGGAATCAGGAAAGTGATTCCGATTACAGATGCAAATAGAATTGTTCTTTTGCAATCTGCCTAATGCGATAACAAGTAAATCTTGTGAAATAGAATTATGGAGCGTGATTTTTTACTTTTGACGATTTCTAAGAGAACTGTGAGTACCCTTAATTTTGTTAATTATTGATGTGATCAAAATTAAAAAAAAACTATTACACTATATAATTTATATATGTTGTTTAAATATTTTTAGGGGCTTAGGAGAGAACTAAAAATAAATCGAATTATATGTTTTCGAGTAAGTTGATGCACTTTGGACTCATTACCTTGAGAGTGAATCTGGTAAGATTTATAATTTTCTTCATACAGATAATGCAATCGTGGTGTCAGTAACACTACTTCTTGTAACGAATTGCATCATGTACTTCGTTTTAAAGAAATCCAAACAAATTTTACGCAGCTCAATGTAGAACGATAATTGTTCTTTAACTTTGAATTGAAAAAAGTTTACAAAATTTTAAAGAATATGATAGCATGGTTCGTGACAGATTGCTATAAATAAATAGCATTCATCTTTCAAAAAAAAAGAAACAGAACCACGTTTTTTTTTATTAGTTTCATTAAAGGCATATAACGTTAAAAGTGATGTTGCAATTTTCAAATTTTACTATCAATTCAACATCAGAATAAACATTCTGAAAATAATCCTTCTAATTAAAATGTATATCGTGCTTTAATAACTAATAATACTATTCCTCAACCAAATACAGCATTCAAGAAAACTAACTAAACAAAATATAAATTCTTCATCTTTAAAATTAATTACAAAATATTATTATTTCATTGAAATCTTACATAAATACATATCATAAATGTTAATTCATCATCTTAATTCTTCAAGTAGGTAACAAATAATGTTTCAGCTCAACGCTCTGTACAGAAAGACCTTTTATTTAAGCTAAATTAATGAACAATTTTGTTGTTTTAAGCTTACAGCCTTTGTTCATTTATTTACAGAACAGCACAGTGTTTATTAAACACATATACATATGTAAATTCTTCGTATACAAAGGATTGAGGTTAATCCTTTAGCTATTGCTTCAATCATAAATATTTTCAAAACAATGTATAATAATAACATTCTCAACTGCTATAAATTTTGTATATTTTATGCTTGGAATGCATCATCCGTGATAGACTTACGTATAGGTACATTGCGGTGCAACGGAGGCTCTTCTTAGGTAAGAAAGTTAAAGGTTTAGAGAGAACATTAAAGAACTTAACGTGGATCCTCCTGTCCTTTGATGTAAACAATAAGGACAGTGGTTCGTTTCTTTAATTTTAAAAAAGCCTAGTAAGTTGCACGCAACTGTTCCATTTCAAAAACATCAAAGGTAGAACCAAACATACCTAATCTTCCCTGAAATACTGTCTTCGTACAAGAAAATCGCGCTCTGGAACGGTCACAGCCCAGTCAGATCTCACAAAAACATCGAAAGAATCCTTACCTTCCAAGTTCTTGTTCCTGGCGAGGAGAGCCAAGAGGACGTCCTGGTTGGGCGCAGCCTCTGCCAAGTCGCCGGTGTCCTGATGCGACGGCGGTAACGAAGGACCCAAAGATGGCATGGTGGTCGCCGGTGGCCGAGGCATCATCACCGGTGCCGAGCCCAATGGTGGCAGAGGTAGCCCCCCAGGTGTATGGTGAAGCGGATTGTGCGGCGGCGGACCGCTACTCGGTAGCGTCGGCAGCGTCGCGACCGGCTGCACTGCCGCCGACATCGACAGATCGACGCCACCCAACAGTACCGGACGACACCCTCCTGAACCAGGACCGCTGCTCACCGCCGGGAGGATTCCGCCACCCCCCGGCAGTGGTGCGTACGGCAAGTACAGCTCCAGTATAAGACCAGGAAGAGGCAATCGTGGGAACACCGACCGACGGCCGTCTCTTTTGTTCTTAAGCTTGGATCCTTTCAATCAGTCTCTCTAATCAGTCGTCAATTATAATTGCACATTTGCAGACACCAAGACTGAGGATAATTGGTATTATTCTAGATGATGGGGAAACATCAATGCTTCCAGCAGCACGAAATTTCTCTATTTATATATGTAGTTTATTCCAAGATTAATGTTCACTCAATTATGATTGCACATTTGATGAAAATGATTTGGTCTTGATTTTAAGGTTGAGAATAATTTCTGTTATTTTGTATGGTGCTAACTTATGAAATTGAAACCTAATGCAATGCACACTTTTCAAGTTAATATTTTCTCCTTCCTCAACGCAGAAAATGAACCTTTTCAATTATGAATGCATCTTTAGTCGTGTTCCCTTGTCGCCGAAGAAAAAAAAAACTAGTTGGTTTTAATTTAAATATGAAGAATTATTAATATTCTTGATGATGTTGACTAGGCCTGAGACAATATACTATTTGAAATTGAAACTGAATTCAGCGTACACTTCTCGGGTCACTGTTCGTCAGAACACAAAATCTTTCTATCACTAACTGAACAGTTTTAATTGATCAGACACACGAAACCGACACACACTTTCGCCGTCTTCATCGAGCCTGTTTATTCCTATCGTTCGCGTCTCGGCAGATCACATTGAACGACGTCGAAGAAAACAATCGTTTTTCCCGTTTTTTTATCGATCGATCGTCCAAAGTTCCCGTCGTAATCTCGTTCCCGCTGTTGCGAAGTAACCGCTGATGACGATCGATTGTCGAGAGGCTCTTTACTTTTGTCACCTTCCGATGACTTTGTCTGCCACAGGGTAGAGAAGTCCGCACGCTTGTCAGTCGAACGATCGCGTATCGGGCGCAACAGAAGCACTGACGTTTCTTGTTTCTAGGATCACCACGAGCGTGCCGAGCGAACGACGCTTACGAATGATTACGAGCGCCGCTGCTACAAGCTGACTCTGAATGGCATGTTTGTAAATAGTCTCTGTCTGCGACTTCGCGAACAAGAAAAATACCACTATTTACCGGCAATAAAGTGGACACTCGACAGTGCTTACGTCGCAACGTCGATGATCAATGACTCGAACGTTTCGAGTCGTTAATCGCCTTATCCGTTCTCATGAAAATTGCATTCTTTCAATAAGAATTTTCGTCTCGATGAAAACGTAACGATGCGGAGCTCCCTGTCAATAGATAGTTAAATTGTTTCACGAAAGAGGAAAAACTGTCACTTGGAATCGCGCGTCACCGCGTCGAATGATCGACATCACTGAAATTCCCGGGCTGAATTTTTGCGCTTGCAGACGGATCGAGACGCGAATCGACAGGTCGAGATCAGGAATGGAACTGAAGAGAGCAGAGCACCTCGGTTTCCGGCAAGGTCCGAGCGGACCTGAGGCCAGCCACGGACTCGTTCGGTCCCTCTCGTGCTCTGAACTCCAAAGCGACAGTTCGCGTCTTATCGGTTTGTCCACGGCTCCCGGTTTATCTCGACCATAACCTTGCTTATGTTTCTCCAATCTAAGCCGGTCTTCTTTGTAAAATTGTCTGCGACCTTTCTCGTTTTCTTTTCTCCTTTTAGCGAGATTATCTTCGTTTGCCCTGGCACCCTTTATTCAGACCTTGTATAATTCACGCCAGACAGTTTCATAATTGATCATTACAAAGTGCATCGAAATGCTTCCGCGGTTGCATTATAATTGACACGAGATAGCACTGATACGAAAGTAATAAAAACAATCTAAAACACTGAAGATCCCTCTGAACTTCTTTATGGAAGTTTCTTGGGAGGATATTATGCTGTTTAACATTTCTTCGACATCGGTACATTAAAACTTTGTATTTCTAATACATCGAGAAGACGAGTAAAATGGTAAAATCCAGGTCCCAGCAAGCTAAGGAGGATGCCTTTCTTACGAGTACTCCTTGCGTTCCGATCCTAATACGAATCTCAACGTGGCAGTCGAAACGAGCCTTTTCGCGACGGCCGCGGCCGCGGCCACGTTTCGATGAGTCGAGTAGAAAGACGAAGATCGCCTCGATAGCAGTCTAAGGCTTTCTCAGTTCTATCCTTCTAATCTTGTTCGCAGCGCGTCTATCTCGAGCGTTCGGCTTTGATCAGCAGCAGGAGGCGGTGCAGTTTTTACACGCGTGTCGATGGAAATCGTGGCCGGGACCGATGTAAATTCCGAATGCCAATAGAGAGAAAAACCCAATGAATCACGTAGCAGCGATACTTTCGGACGTTGAGGTTGCCGTTCGTCGCGGGTCTTCCTTTTCGTCCCGGCAGATACGAGCCGAATGCGAGGACCGCGACCGGTAAGAAACGACGAATTCCACGGCTGTTGAATCGCGATTTTCGTCCTGCCACGCTCTCCTTTTCTTTTTTCTTTCTTGCCCCTCGCATCGGTGGAGAGGACGCGTCTCGAACTCGTCATCGGCCGACGCACCCGTCCATTCAGCCGACGATGATTATCCACCACTGACAATGACTTTCTTCCCTTCGGGCTGGTCCGAACTTTTCTTCGGAATCCTTCGAATTCCGCTCGGTGACTGATCTTCCACGTCGATGGACTACCGATTGAATTAATCTTCCTCTCCTTTTATGCTGTCCAACTCCGTAAATGGTACACCGATCAGTCCACTTTCCGAGGTAAATGAAGAACGCGGATGATTACGATACGATGCATACTTCCATGATGTTTCGGTAATGTTCTGCATTTAATTTATTTCGTTCTTCTTTCGTTCACCGTCCACGGGTTCGTCGATTCGTCAAGCGACTCGCGCGATCACCGATGCGCCGTTAATCATCGCATGACGCGATACGAAAAAAGTGACGATACTTTGAGACATTTCAAAGATGCTCTCTATCAAAGTGACGAAACTTGAATGAATATCTATGAATCGAGCGGAAAAAAATGCACGCTGCCACGAAGATCTCGGAATGTGCGATTTGATTAGCGGGTACCGCGACACTATGGAGTCGGCTTCGCGGGATTCCCGGCTTCAGCGTCGAGGATGAGAAAGTTGGAGGGACCTGGAGGGACTTGGAGGGACGCATAGATAGGTGGAGGTGGTGGTTCTGAACGTTCTGTGAAACCGTGTGCATAGCCCTGTCGGAGGAGAGGTTTCCACCCTACCATCCATGGTCACCACCGAACCGTCTCGGACTAGCTCGCACCGAAACGGGGGAGAGCTTTGGTGGGGTAGCTACGTTGGCACGCTTGCGCCGCAAATCTGTCTCCCTCGTGCGAGATACGCGCAGGGGGCACGGACGCGTCCTACTAGAAGATTTTGGAATGATTTGCGGTACGTGCGAGCGAATCGAATGGAAAAGTCGAACGATGGAACACGTAGAACAAGTCGTGTCACCTTTCTGCTGAATGTCTGAAGGTTGCGTTTCAAGGGAATGCGAAAGATGAATTTTATTGAGCATCTCTGAACTGTGAAACTGGTACTGGTAATTTTGTCCTTGAATCATCTAGGTGATCGTCATTTTATTTCTAAGATTTTATATTGAATTATGAAAAAAAGTAAACATTTTTCGACACTGTTAATGGTCTCCTATCAATATTTAAACAAATATTCATAAAACATTCCTTGATTTTAATGCGAGAAATTCGTCGAGCTAAATTTTGAGCCGGCGACGTCGATAAAGGATATTCCTTAATAAATTTTATTTATTTTTTATTGAAAGTTTCAGTTTTGTTAACAAATATTTTATGCAATTTAAAATAGAATTTTGAAAAGTTATGGATATGTATTGTCAGACTAAATCGGACATGCGCATTATATTCAAGATTTAATGGTAATTTTGAATAGTATAGATAATACAAGTCATTAAAAATTAATTTTCTAATCTATTGCTTCAAATCTATTGCTAATTTCAATTGCTAGTGTAGATAACTTCAGTAGTATTTCAAATTTTCTTTCTTCCTTCACTAGTTTATTATTTTATTAAATTAATTATCGTTGACCATGATGGCATTTAATTTATATTATACCAAATAACAAAAAATCATATCTTTTCTAAAATAAGAATCACTATTGTAATCATAACAGTGTAATTGTAAAGAAGAAATCTTATTGCTCATTTAAAATAAATCAAAGCATTATCTAAGGGTAAAATTTGAAAGAAGACCATTGAAACTACTAAAGGATCTCAATTATTTTCATCCTAAATTAAAACTCAAGAAACAGAATTTTTGAGCGATCTCAAACAAATAACAAGAATTTCGTTTCGATCTTCCAGAGAACAAAAGATATCTTTTCACATGGTGGAGCGAAAAATCTCCAAATATCTTGCAATGGAAAACGAAATAAAAAAACAACAGATGACAGATGGAAGAAGGTAACAAAATGAAAAAAAAAAAGTTTGGCGACGCTTCGGATACTTCGGAAGGTTGCGAAAGGAAAGAGGCAGAACAGTATCGTGCTAATCAAGACCGATGGTCAATAATGGCGGCCACGGGTTGGTCGGACCCAAGTCCAACCTACCCTTCGAGCGTCGGGCGTGTACGGGGGTGGTTTAAGCCGGCACTTCGCCCCTCAGTAGTCGACAGGGGTTGATTCTGGCAAGAGCTGGAGAGCGAGACATATTTTTATTGTACCTAGGTGAATCACTGCTACAGGGACCTTTTTCTATGTGTTATTCACTCGCGCCGTAAACCAAACGTACTATCGCGAATGCTAGCGATGGGAACAAGGTGAATTGAATCGTTTAAATACTCACCACGTTGATTTAGTATTCGTGAAAAGTAAAATTGGATTATAGAACATAAGCGTAACTCTTGATTCATTTTTATTTTTCATATCCTAACAAATAGTGTACAGGGGAGGCAAAATGGTTCTTGAGAAACTCTCAATTAAAAATTTTATGGGTTTGAGGAATAATCAAAAGATTCAAGGTGGGAAACAGTTAAAAATTAATATCAAATAAAATTGGGTGATGCAAGGAAAGCAGTAGAATAAGTTACTAGCAATTAAATTAAAATGGAATAAAAATTACAAATTTCAGACATATGGGTAATCCTTATTTGTGTTTGATTCTTATATTCTAATAATTAGGGGGTAAAAAATTGTAAGTTCTTGAGAAACACTATATTAAAAATTGTTTTATTACTTTTATTGGATTGAGTGATAAATAGAATAGAATAGAATAGTTAGAAGTTAATATACAATAGAATTTAATGATATACAGGAGACAGAATAAATTAATACAAATTAAACTCAAATAGGATAGAAATCACAAATTCAATAGCAAATTAAAATTATTCATTTTTGAAAATGTTAGTAATTTTTCTGAAATGATGGATAGGTATATTATGAGTCTAGATTATAAACTCTTCTAGTGACTCGAAGGACAACATTAAGATTTATATTAACATTTATATTAATAAAAATTGTAAATGAAGATTGTATAGCTATTTATGTATTATAAATTGATGGAAAAATTTACCAAATGTCCAACTGGACAAATTGTAAAGCACATATACAATATAAAAATTATATATCACATACTTCTTTAAATATGCTGGCTACCGGGAAGAAAATAATCACAGCTGATACAATATAAAATAGAATAAAATAAATATTAAGAATATTATGCATTAATTATTTGATTTAAAGTCTCAGTGTAATTCTACTGATACTCCAAATTTTCTTTCTTCTACTTATTTCTTACATTTTTATAGTGTCAATTTCCTTGACAGTCAACGTGTTAATGAATGAAGAGTTTTGATAATTTTTAATGAAGTTGAATAAAAACAAAAGAAAAGGGATTAAGGTATAATGAACCATACAAGTTTTATGGATCCGTAATACTACGGGATAATTTTATCTCAGAATCTTTTTCAAAGTCTTCATGTACTTCATACATTTTAAAGATCATGCACAATGTTGCATTTCGGCTTTCTCTAGAATTAATGCTTCGGGATGTGATGCTTTTCTTCATTTTTTTTTTGTATTTTTCTTGAAGAAACGAAGAAAATCTCGGTCAGACTTTAAAGTCAACGAACAGAAATAAAACCGCGTGAAGTGTTCTCAAATGAGCTACAGGTTTATTGTTTGAAGAAGCATACCTATTTTGAAATTTTTATATGCTTTTCTCAATTCATTTCACGTACTGTATTTTACGAACCGGTATCTTTTGCAGCAAAATTCCTAGAAATATTCATACCCTGAAAACTTCAATTTCTTCGAAACTAACATTTCTTTGAATCTGTTCAAATACAATGCCAATATTTATATTTTATTATGACTTTCTCAACTTATTTTAAGCAGTATTTCAAACGTGCAAAATTGAAAAGGTAAATTTGTTTAAGAATTAAATTATCTAATTTTATTGTAAAAAATCATATTTTGTTTTAAATTTATTACAACTTGTTAATAATTCTACACTTTATTAACCAACGTTTTCCACTCTTACTTTGAAGAAAAAAAATTAATTCGTACCATAGTAACCCATTTTCCCCTTATTAACCCTTGTACGATGGAGCCGAGTAGGTACTTTGCTGACTAAAGATACATATACTTTAGAATTTAAATTTAGCTCTAATTTTCGAAATTTTTTACTATTTCTTTAGACATTATATTTCTGATATGTAAAACCATTTCATTTGGAAATTAGATACTTAAATTTTTGAAAATACAAATTTAGCTAATACCCTCCGCCATCTAAGAGTTGACAAGGTGTAAGTGAGTTGCAAAATGAATACAATTTTTTTTTCTTCTGTCAGGTACACAATGAACAAGCATTGGAGACGTTAAGACGACAGATTTGCTTGAAAATCAAATTGGGGGTGCATTGAATGCCCATCGCTAGTGCACGCTCGCGCGCGCATGACGACTTACATGCACATGTTTCTGAATAGACACATATCCAGAGGGTAGCGTCGACCCGTCGGATCACCCGTTGGATGCACTCAACGAAATTAAACCTACGTTCCTCGACCTCGGACCGACGTCGCAGTCACGTCCAGCCGAGATATCGGTAACGTTACCTTTTACCACGTTTTGCGCGCGCCACTTCAAACTTATTCCCGCGAAATTTCTTGGTTACGATTTTTAGAGCACAAACTACTCCTTGCCTTACATATGATTCAGAATTGATTTTAATTTAATTTAATTCTAACTTCCATTCTGTCCATAATAGGATTTTATCATTTTCTTAATCCTTGCACTTACTGTTAGAATGGATTCAAAAGGTATTTGCATACGCTTTCAAATAATGGCATTTCAGTGACATTTTTGCAATTGTTTGAAAGAAAATAGTAATAGTCACTTTTTCTGATTTTTTATTTTAAGTAAGTTATACTATATGGGGTTACCAAATTTGACGATGAGTAGGTATTATATCTGCAAATTGAAATAAAACAGAAACTATGTAACATATATATCAGATTTTCTCTATTTTTTTACATAAAATTTGCTTCATGGCAAAAATTATAAAACGAAACGACACTTTTGGAGTTAATCACCCTAATCACTCCAGTGTATGAAAAATTCAATGGATGCTGAATTTCATGAAGAAGAAATGTCAAATGGTTAGCAGGATCATACAATTTGACACCGATAAATTTTCTGAGATTTTTATCTTTATTTCTGCATTAACTAGTCTGTATATTGATCGAAGGTTTATATAGACATTTTCAACTGTAAGCTTCAAATTGATATAACATAAGTGTTATTTTATGCCATTTTTATGTTATCAAATTGTGTCAAGCTTTTGATGTTTAGAAATATAGGCCATCATTTACTATAATTGGCAATCGTTCAAATTATATTAAGAACGTCGAAGAATTCCTGATGAACTCGTTTCAAGGAAACTTTAAGATTTAAATTGATTATAATACTTTCATGTCATCAAATCCGTTCAGACTTTTGATGTTTCGAAATCGGTTACATATTTAATAATTTCTCGACTTTTAATCATTCTCCGTTAAATACATTTTGAATCAGCGAACTAAATCCACCCTTTCATTTTACTAAAAAACTAATATAATCGAACCTGACAGAGGATGAAAATTGGGTTATGAGGAAGAAAGTATCCTCGGACCTCGGAGT